AAGGAAAGGCATTCTCAGTGAGAATCAAATGTCTGGAAAGTAAAAGGAAGAAGGGAGAGACAGTGAATATGTAGGTGTTTTAGTTTCATTTTAGCCAGATCACAGGTTACATGAAGGTTAGTGAGAAGAAAAAAGAAATCAAATCATAGGGAGGCTCTAATAAGAGTGTAGAGAATTTATGTGGTTTACAACATATGTGACACTAGAAAGGGTACAAATATAGTATCTTAAAGGAAGTCTAAAGTCAATGATATTAAGGAAAGAAAAATTAGACTTATAATTAGAGGACAGATAATTTATTAGGTCATCTAATAAATCATGATGTATTTTCCTATATTTTTCTCTGCAAAATTACATTATGACTTTCCCAATGATCCAACAGTTAAGCCTTGAAGGTCAGATGTGATTCTGACAGGCTGTTCCAAATTATGTAAACTGATGAAAGTCATGAGTTAGCCAGGTCAGAAACTCTTCGGGTGGTGCCATTCTCTAAATCTGGGGAGCTGCTCAACTTTAGTATCTCCTCAGGTATGTTAGCTGTGAAATTACATTGACGTGAATAAAAATAAGCCTCAGCAATGAAGTCTTTGTTAAGAAACACATTTTAACAAATACACATATATCCAAAAACACAATCCACATGTCCCTCCTACCCTTGACATTCTTTTTTGGTTGGATACTTTTAGTTTGCTATTTCTGTCTAATTGTAAAATCAATACACATTCACTGTAGAAAATCTAGTTCCTTCACTGTTACCAACTCAGAATATAAATGCACTGACTGCTATAATTCTATACAGAGAGCCAGTGTGCCTAGAAACCAGCCAAACATTCAAAACCAGTATGGACCAACTTAAAGACAATACTAGTCTTTCAAAGCATCACTTGGGATTCTACCCCCAAAGGTTAAAAGAAACTGCTTCTAGACAGCCGTCAGACCTTTTGTGGGAGTTAGTGAGCTCTAAAGTAGTCTTTTAAGACTCAAAAGAATTACTGAGTATGGTCAGCTCCACTGAAGAACACTAGAAGTATACAAGGTTAGGCACACTTATAAATAAATTCATTTTTATCAGGAATCACCTAGATTAGAATAATTTCAACCTAAACCCAGCTGTGGCACTATAAGTGGGAGCACACCACTGTGCAGTTGCTGAGGCCACCTAGAAGACCTCGGGTTGGTTCTCAGCCGAAACTACACAGATCAGGAGTGATGGCATACTCCTGTGGACCTCACTGACTGGAAAGCTGGGACAAGAGATCATATATGGTGAGAGCCTGTCAAAATATTTCCTCCCTTTCCTCTTTTTCTTTCTCCCCAAATGTTCTTTTTCTTAAAAAAATTTTTTTTCAACCTAAATGGGTTTGAATGGACTAGGAATAAACCTCAAAAATCAATGAGTCAAACATTTAAAGCCAGCCCTGTAGCACAGAAGTAAAGGAGCCAGATGACCAATCCTAGTTCTAACATCGGTTCTGGTGGATTGAAAAACACACTGGGCACATGTACATGTATGCCCAAAATCTTGATAAGGAGGAGGAATGGAGTAAAAAGGATTGCAGTGGAACCATGCCTTATTAGGGTTCTCTCTCTCTCTCTTTCTTTCTGGAGAACACATATATCCTCTGGCAATAAAAATAAATAAAAAACATGGTTGGGTTTTGCATTAGGGAAGCTTGATGGAAAGATTAAAAGCCTAAGATTTAAACTTAATCAAGGACTGATGTGAAAGTTATGACCCACTGTACCTGAGTGACCTTAAAAAATTTACTTAACCCTTCTGAGATTTAAGAAAATAGAGATAATTTAACACCTGTGAGAATTAAATATAAAATCTAACACATGGGAGATCGTCTAAATGGCAGCTTATTATTAATGGACAATAAATGGTACCACTTCATCTAAAAATTATTGTATAGAATCAGTGCTTTTTATTAACTTTTTTTAAGAGATTTTTTTCTATAGGGCAAGTGTGGTTGCCAAAGAGACAGAGAGAGACAGAGAGAGACAGAAAGTGAAAAATCACTCACTCCATGGGAGGTGACCACACTCTGCTCTTCTATTCTCCTCTTAGGATTTTGGGCACGCACACACTTGCAGGAGGCATGAATTTTAAGCTACCAGGTCTGGGACTCAAACTGTCATCAACTATGTGGGAATCTAGCAATGTAACCATTATGCCATTTGTTGAACCCTTCCTTTATAAATTTTTTAACATTATATAGACATATATGTTTGTTATGGAGAATTTAGAAAGTATTGGTAAACACGAATTCTAATTTCACCATTCAGAAATAACTAAGAATGTGCATTTTCAAAAGCATTTTTAGTAACTGGCCCTATTTTTTTAAAAAAAGATGAGACCTGGGGAAGTGAAATATATGTTATGTTTCTATAGTGGAATTATAGAACACTAAAAGTTTTATTTTCTGCTTTCTTCCTCTTACGCCAACAAAAAGAAAAAAAAAAAAAAACAAGATATGGTGCTATCTTGAATGTTCTATGATTTATCATTTTTTTTCTTTTTTTTTTTTTAAGAGAGGTTTTTGCTATAAGGCGCGTGCGCTCGCCAGACAGACAGAGAGAGACAGAGAGATAGAAAGCGAGAACTCACCCCCCAGGGGGGATGGCCACGCCGCAATCCCTTCTCCTCCATTCTCCTCTCGGGATCTTGGGCACACGCGCACATGCGCCAGGCGTGAGTTTTAAGCCACCAGGTCCGGGACGTGAACCGCGGCTGGTTATATGGGAGTCCAGCGACACAGCCATTATGCCAACTGCTGGTCCCCATATTTATTCTTTAAAGGTCTATCTCCATGCAATGTTTTACATTCCCCTCAAGGTCATAGTCTCTTCTTTCTTTGACCTCTCATGTCATATCTTCAGGCTTACATCTCACATATAGCATTTCTCGAACTGGAGTAGAACCATCTATGATCTTCTCAAGCCGGCAACTCTCCTGCTCACCTTGCTCTATTGCCTAAAGGCAGGACTTTTAACTCACGGACTGCAAAACTCTTGAAATTAAACATAAAATTAGTGTTTCAGTATATAAAAGCACATTTTCCTGGAGAGAATTTAGTTTTCATCAAATTCTCAAAAAAGGTCTAAGAGTCAAAAAAAAAAAAAAAAAGGTAAGGAACTGTAATCTAAGGAGAAGATTGTGATTCACTATTTACTCTTGGACCCACTACAGTGCACAGCATTGACCCTGCATGGGAGTGAGAATCGACTACTATATACACACACAAAATCAATAAATTACAAGATCTATTTTAGGTTTTTGCTTAATGCTCTTTTAAAATATGTTTTATTCTTGGTCTTCTAACCTTCATGGAAAAATACCATTCTTAAAGTAGAAAGGTGGCTGCTAGGGGCTTTGGGGGGCGGAGGTGGAATAGAAAGTCAGTGTTTAAAGGAGTTTTAATTGGGGAAGGTGAAAGTTCTGGAGATGGAGTAGAGATGGTTGCATAACAATATGAATGTAGGTAATACCACTGAATTGTTATGGGCGTTTTACCACAACACAACAACAAAATACTGTATCTTATTCTCATATAACACTGATTACCTACAGGGCAAATTCTTAATCAGAGGGGAAAAAAAATAAAGAAATGTATCAGCTAAATTTTAGGATATTAAGAAAGAAACCTTTAGGATATAAGAAAGGGGAAGCAAATCTTAACGCCAACCTAAATGCCTTACTGGTGCTGTAGGTGCTAGATAGCAGTGAACGAAATAGCCCAATATCGATGTCCTACTTAAATGATACTTAAGTGCTACTGGTTTTCTAGAATGCATATTTATATTACCTTTTTTTTTTACAAAGTGTCTTTATGTTTTTGTAAATATATTCTTTTCGTTAGTTTTTTAAAAATTCTATTTATGCTTCTGGGTTTTGTTTGTTTTGTTTTCATTTCTAGGGTGCATGGTACTCACCAGAAATAGAAAACAGAAAAAGAGAGAGGGAGAAAGCGCCTCCCAATGGGACATGGTCACATTGTAATCCCTCCTCCATTTCACCATCCTTGAAGGATTTGAGGCATGCTCATACATGTGGCTGGCGTAACTTTCAAGCCACCTGGGCCAGAATTCCGACTACAACTGACCATGTGGAATCTATCTCCCTTATTCACTAAAAACACGGCTGACCCTACTTTTACTTTTGATCTTTAATGGAAAACTTATGAATCACACTACAATCCATCCCTAGCCTCAACCCGTCCAGATCAGACACAAACATGCATGCCCTGCATACATAGGGAGGCCTCAAGATGCAAACCCAGGACCTTCCCATGTAGGTCAAGTAGAATTATAGAATGTTGCATAACTGCTGAGCCCCTAATTTGCCCCTGATTTTTTTAAAGACGTTTTTACCTTAGGTAATGTGTGCTTGCCAG